TCAGTTCATTTAGAAGTAAACCATAATTCGGCTTATCTTATTCATTTTCAGCTTATATGTATATGCACCAAAAATAAATTCAAAACTAGACTAGATATAACACAAGGACTGCAAATTTAACTGTCGGATATAAAACCTTATTTAAGATTGAAAATGATAAAACGATGAAAAATCTACATTCCTCGAATTAAATATTTTAAAAATAGTCTGTTTTTAGGTTATAATATTCGTAATTACCTTAATAAACTTTAATCGTAATGTCGGGCCTCCGCCGATGGAAGAAATTTAATATATCAATGGAACACACTGAAGCTTTATTTAGAATTACAATTATATAATAATTATTTTTATTATCGAATGAAAGGTTTCAAAAGACAAATATTTGTTAATGTTTAATATTTAATCAAAGAGAAAACATAACCCATGTTGAAATCTAAGGAATAGCCCCTGATAAATTTTGTGACAAAAAAAATTTATTGATTTCTGGATTTTAGAAACACCTTCTAGTTTTACTATTCAATCAAATTGGTTCCGATGTCTGTCATCCCACCTATCTCATTAGTGATTCAGCATATTTTGATATCATTTTTGTTTCGTTCTTACTTAATATTAATTTGCTTGAGACAATTATTTTTTAACTACATTTTTGCGAGAGGCTTAAAAATATAATAAGGGCATTAACTGAAATTAAAATTTTTTTTGCATGCTTCTTTTACTTTTATCATCCTCACCCACAAGCAACTGTCTGCTCTAAATACTGCGATAATATAAAATGAGATGGCAAAACAAAACATATGGAGTTATTTAAATTCATGTTCAAAAGTTTTAGTTGTTTTTTGAATTGACAATTTCAGTCATCTTTTAGGTATTTAAAACAGCAGCATATCACATGAAAGTATTAAATATATCATTTTTACAATATTAAAGTAAAATAAAAAAGAATTCTGATCCTTAGGAACAGATATTAAATAGTCTCATGATCGAATGATGGAGCATAATTACCTTTTAAACAAATAAAAAAGAAATTTATACCTTTTACACTAAAAATTTACTTATTTTTATATAATTTATTAATACTCAAATTGTTCAAAAGATGATATGACAACGAAGTTTTTTATTTTTTTCAGTCATTTATTTATATTTTTTTCATTTTTTAAATTTATTTTTATTTTATTAAATTAAATGCACGCGTTTAAAATAAAAACAAAGCTATCAAAATTTATACATAGTTTCGATTTACAATTTTAAAAAATTGTTTCAACTTTGATTTGAAAATTTAAAAGCCTTATTAATTAAAAAACTGAGAAGCCTTATTAACTTTAAACACATAATAACAACAAAAATCAAGGAGTTAAAAATATAAACAAATATGATCAATAAGCAATAAAATCATAAGCTAACTAAATAAATTAATTTTGTGTACGAAATATAATATTACAAATTAAATATATTTCATATTTAGGGGAAACATGAAAAATTTGGTCATACAGGAGGTTTGAAAATTTTTTTTCTCATGTTTCAACATTTGTTTAGTTAATGATCATTTGATTTCAATACTCTATTAAACAAAATCATATGTTGTTTCTGTTTATTAGCAGTAAAATAAAATTAAAATTAAATTACATTTGTTATCTCAATTTCATCCAGAACAGACCAAATCAAGAATTAAATAGTGGCCCGCCATTTAAATAAATAAACAAAAAAAAAAATCACAATGCATATAAAAAAAAAAACTGCGCAAACATTTCATGTTTTCCATAACCAAAATTGATATAATAAAAACATTTGCTTACCTCCAACGTGAAAGATTTATGTCTTCTTAATATCCTACGAAAATTTGATATAGAAATTCCTAGTTCACGGATTCGTTTACGATTAATTTGGAAAATAACAAAATAAAATTAACTACAATAATTAAGTAAATTAAACAATTAAGCTAGTTGAAATACTTAGGATGATTAAAGGGGAAAAAAAGCTTTTATAATAAATTTAAAAAAATATCTAAATTTTAGAAGAAAGACAATTTAGAATTGAACGAGGCCCAATTTAAAGACACAATGGAAATCTCAAGACAGAGTGACCCAAAGAAATGCTAACAATATCTTAGAGTTAGAGATATGTACTTAACTAAACAGAGTGGCCACTCACTCTGAGATTGTGAAAAGCCTAGAATTCTCAGAGAAATTTATCATTTACCTTTGACTCTGAAATATTTTGAGATCAGCAATTTACGTTTCGTTTTTCAAATTTATTTCAATGAGTTATGATATTGTATTCATATTGTATTATGATATTGTATTCAAGCCTGCAATTATCTCCTAACTGTTACATTGTGATGTTCCCAGACATATATTTTAGTACTTATCCTGTGACACTTTTATTTATTTTTCTTGTTTTCAATTACATTTTGATAAATGATTCCATTTTACTTTTATACATAATTCAAAGTAATAATTTTGTTTTTCTTAAAATCTTATAACATTTGAGTGGTAAATTTTTTTGAAAACCATCTCTCTGAAACTGTATTTTATGTGAAAATTGTATGCATGAAATAATTAAAAAAAATTTTAAATTTAATTATTTCTTTCTTATTCATTTAGATATGGATTCCTAATACAAACATTAATATATATTTTTAATTACAATTAAAATTATGGTAGTTAAAATCATGAATGAAATCATTTGCTGAACTTTTCTAATTAGGAATTTAAAATGTTGGTTTTGTTTAGAGAATGGCTACCCTGTTAAAATGTAAAAAATAAATAAATAACAGTAATTTTTATAAACGCAGAGCTATAAGCGATAAGCAGAGAGCTCGCCGCACTTAACTATACTCAATACTCAGTAATTTTTATGATTTTGGTGATACCGTTTTTCTGCATAAAATCTACTTGATTATGAGAAGTTCAATTATTTAATAAAATATTAGCTTTTACAAAGTTTAGATGATACATTTAAATTTTGTATGATTTAGAGGTCCTAGGAGTTGCTAAGCTTAGTCAAATAATGTACATCAGAGAATTAAAACTGAAAGTAATGTGTGATCGAATAAGATCAACTTTTACTCTATTAGCGCAAGGTTGCATTTGTGCTACTACTAATAATAATTGAATCATAGTTTTTTAATAAAACTTGTATGTTTATGATATGGCGTTAAAATGTTCCAAATCCTGAAATCACTTTTTTTCCCTCTGTTTTAGAAAAGAATATATATAAGCCACCAGAACAGCCACACCAACCTTCAAACGTGCCTCCATAATTCTAATGGGCTATAAATTCAACCTTTAAATGTATAGCCCATTTCCAATCTACAGTTATGCCCAGCTACGTCCAAATACAATTTATGAGATATCAAACTTTAGACAAATACTGAACAGACCAACAAATGAATTTTCCTACTATAAATGAATGACTTTTTTAACTCTTATTATACTTTTAAAAGATATGTGCTTTTTTTTAATTGTCAATGATTTATTTTTTCAATGTTATCTAAGATGTTAATAGTTTTGTGGATCTTACTGAGTATTCTTCATAAACTTATTTTTTAGAATGTAATTTACTTATGAAACTTTTTTATAATAAACAAATAAAAAAACTTGTTTAGCATTTGTAGTATGTTTCAATATTTACGATTTTTTATTCAGGGTTGCTACTAAACAAGAAAAACATAGAAAATACAGGAAATTTAAAAATCATCCAAAAATAACAGAAAAATTTGAATTTTTCCTTACAAATTGGACATTTTATTTCTTATTGTCATCTTTCAAAGTATGGCGTCCCGCAGTGGACTGATCGTTAATACACGGTTCCCAGCAGATCACCGAAGTCAAGCATCACTGGCTACGGTTAGTGTGCGGGTGGGTGACCACTTGGATCAGTCTGCGTAGGGACCGAGGGTGTGCGGTATTGGTCCTCGTTAAACTGTGCTACCGTAAAGTGCTCGACTTCGCGCGCAGGTCGTCGGGCTACCGAAGCGAGGGTGCCATCCCCTCCGCAGAGGATCATCCTCCGGGATGTTTCCCAGACCGTCGCCACTAGCCCATTGTGCAGCTCTAGTGCGACGCAAATTAACAACAACAACAACATTTAAAATATGGCAATCTCTCAAAGCACAATTTGGGGGATATTTAAAGATAATATTTGAGCTGTTTCTTATTTCTTTACATTTTTCGAACAATTAAAGCTAGTATAGTTAGCCTAATATAGCTCACACAAGAGCAGGTCGAATGTGCGTTTCCTCTTAATATATTGTGCATAACATGTGCAGGGAAAACACCTGAAAATATTTTCCTGATTTGAGTGGCAACCTTGTTATTGCCGATAGACTGTTGCTTCTAAATTCATCGTGGCTGAGTATAACACTCTAGTTTTTTAGCATTTTTAAATCTTAACACAACTATAAGATTTAAACAAAGACTTCCATACTTTATACATCTCAATTCTCTAAAATAAACTGGGAGACGAAATATCAAAATTTATCATTTGTTCTTCAAATTTTTTGCACTCTGAACTTAAAGCCACCCACATATTGCACAAAAATAATTGGGATATCTTATCTGCCACATAACACTTTTCCGCACGGACCAGCGACATTATACCTGGCCTATCTCTTTCATTATGGATATCAAGATTCTTATTTAGTTGAGACTTTAATTACTCTCTTATTATAGATTATTTTTGTTGCAATTCACTATTATTGAACAGAGCTGTGGAGTCGGTAGTTGAAATGCAAGGCTCCGATGCTGGTCTTTTCATCAGAGTTAGACTCCAACTTATACTCCATTAAGTTTACACTGAATCTCAGAAAAGTTATATAATCATCTTTTTTGTATCATAGCTTAATATTTTCAGGGTGCGTAGCGTTTTTAAAAAGTGCTTATTTTCGTTTTTTAAAAGCCCTTAAAGGTGCATTTTTCATTAGGTGTTTTTAAAAGGTGCTTAATTTTCCCTTTTTCGAAATGAGATTTTTCCTTTACTATGTTGATTTTCGCTTCGAATTATGCACAAAGACACAGTTCACATTGTTCTATTCAACGTTTTCACAATTAATTCAACCCCAATCTATTTATTATATTAGGTATTGTCAGTCCGTGGCGTATGAAAACGCCATTAGTTTTCATACGCTACGGAGACGAGTCAAAATTTCATGATTTTTGACAATTGTCAAAAACAATGCCAAAAGTTTCTTTTTTTTTTGACATGACGGTTAAAACAAGATAAAACAGTCAATTATCAAAAGCTTTCCAACCCGGCCTAATTAATTTTTTTTTAAATGCTTACAAATATTTTTTGAGTGCTTGAAAAGTGCTTATTTTTGGTTGAATGACTTGACTACGCACCCTGACTTTAATCTTATTGTTAATTTATGTTTTTATCGATTTACTCTGTTAATAACAAAGTAAATGAGCAGATTTGAATATGTGTTTATTCTCCAGATACATGCATTACAAATATATGTGACCTCAAATCAAAATTTGCTGTCGGTGATTTACAAAGGTAAAAAATATTAGAATAAAAAGAGTAGATTCTTTTTAAAAATGACTTAATCCATAGGCAAGAAAGTATGAAATTAAGTAATTTAAAAAAAAAAAACTATAAGAGCTTTCTTGTGGTTCTGCATGAAAAAGTAAGAAATAAAATATACAATATTGAGTGTAATGTATAATAAAGCTAATATAGTCTCCGTTAATTTTCTAGATGCTACTTCATGTTATATGAAGTTTACCTTAAGATGTGTGGAAAGATTTTCAAAATAAATTTTAAAAGAAGGATGAAAGTCAACAGTTAATTTGAACTGCAGACTTTTAATCTGCTTCATTTAAAAATTTTCTAGGAAATTCAAACAACACATTTTAAGATAGACTTGATGGAAAATTAACTGTGACTATATCAACTAAATCACAAATATTTCTTTTTTGTTACTTATTGCCAACTGAACCATAGAAAAGTTATTTTTCAAAATCAACTTATTGTATCATTCTAGTTGTGAGTTATTTCAAACATGTAAAATAATTTGATATTTAAGTGCAAAAAAAACTGCTATCGCTTTTCAATCCTCTTTGTGTCTTTAAGAGTCAAACCTTGCAATGGAAATTTCGACCACTTTCTGCTTTGCTTAAAGGCTAAAATTTCAACTCCATGTGGGTAATACATGTTACAATAACCTGATCCTAGATGATTTTGTGCTTGTAAATTCAGAGTTCAGCATAACTAAACCAGACCATCGAAGCCAGAGAACATTTAACCACCGAAATTTTAACCTCAGTAGTACAAAACTAAAATGAAAAAATAAATAAAGCTCTCAAAAACCACAAGCTCGAAAGAGAAAATAATTTTTCTTATATCTAGAACAGTGGTTTCCAACTGGCGGCCCGCGAAGCCTTTTTTTGTGGCCCGCGAACTAAATTATATTAGTTGTCATTTTTTTGCGGACAATTTTCGTAAGAAAATCTATATGGGTTTTAAATACTTTTCTCGTTAATAAAAATCTAATTTCTTCGTTTCTGTAAAATTTATCATACCAATGGTGCAAAAAAAAAAATTATTTCTCAGGTTTTGCATCCAAAAAAACATTTATTCAAATACAATGTTGCTCTTTTTTATTTCATTTTTTTTTTATTTTGTGAATATAATTTAGCATGTGTGTATTATAAATTTTCTCCTTTTGAAACCACTCATTTTGGCCTAAAATATTTACACACACATTTGTAAATTTTAAATGTAAATATCTATTCTCTGGTAGTTGCAGCAGACAAACCTCAATTTTGTCAATGAACATTTTGTGTGCTACTAGGTAAGTTTTAATACCAAACTTTTTAAAGCTTTATATCTGTTGCACATTAATTGTTTAATACATGGGTGCACATTAAAAGTTATTGTAGCCCGAATATTTTAATATGCAATTAAATATTTATATAAATCTACTTTTTATTTTAAATTGTAATTCAATACTTTTGTATTCTACAACTTGGTAAAAATCTGACAGTAATATTTAATGTTCCTTCAAACATAAGAGTCCTAGATAAAATTTTGATAAAGTTGCGGTCCGCTATTTGATTTGTGTTTTTAGTTGTGGCCCCCGGCCTCATGTAAGTTGGAAACCCCTGATCTAGAACATAGGACGTGACACTTAAAAAAATTATTACTATTTTTCATTTGAGTAAAGATATTTTTTTTTTCAAATCTGAAAACAAACTTTATTGGGAACAAAAACAAACACATAAATACAAAGAATATATATTCGTCGCCAAGAGGAAAATCCTATCCAGGTGACAAAGAAAGGTAATACAATAAATTTAAAATAGAAATTAAGAAGAAAAAAAAAGGGGGGGAGATATTACAATCATAAATTATTTTGCTCATCATAAGACAACACATATTGTTGAACACTGTAATAATAGAAAAAAAAATACACGAGACCATATAAAAAAAGGTAACATAAGAAATTCATTTGGATTGGCACAAGACTGGTATAAAAAATTAACTGCTTCCTTTAAAGTGAAAAATAGA